ATGTCTTCTGAAGTGGAAGATATCAAACAGGTAGATAAACACCATCGAATTCGCCATATTCAACTTAATGCATTCGTTTTTTACTCACATCAGCAAACCTTTTCTTTCAAGTGACCAAATATTTTCATCGAGATCACATGCAGTTTTCAATTTGCAGTTTCAGGGCAACAAACCAGAAATGGAAAGGCGCCGTCGTGCCCGTATGAATCAAGCTTTTGAGCAACTCAAAAAGTTCCATCTGATGCATTCACCCAATCAAACGTCAAAACTCGAAAAGACCGATGTGCTCGAGCTAACCGTCGAATACTTGAAGAATCTTCACGAAAATGTCAACACCTCCCCACCACAAACCGCGCACTGTCAGTGCCTTGCTTCCACCTACTTTATCGCAACTTTACGCTCACATTAGACGTGATATCTGTAATGTTCACGAATCCATAAGCTCGAATGTCTGACTGAGATTAGAAAGTGAATCTTTCTGGAGGTATAACTGATCAATCAAACTATTGAGCAGCTTTCGAAACTCACCAGTTCAGTCGAATATTCTGTCAAAATTGCAATGGATATCATCAAATTTGTTTCCATCAATGTCTGTCAATATTTCATTTGTGACATCAAACTAATTTTTAACATTTTACCTCAAAATTTTCCTACCTTGACTTTTTTATTACCTCAATTTTTCATTTCAGCACCGAATCAACGGCTAACAGATCAGCTAGAAGGCTATCGTGAGGGTTTTCGAGTNTCGTTCATTCAGTACACTTTCCCATTTCATCAAGCCTCAATTCTAAGCGCTGGTCTTACCGTATTCCTATCAAACTATCAACAACTCGTCGCACCACCACCATCCTCTCAACTTACTAAACAATCTCCAAAAAGCCAAGCGACAAAACGCTCTTATTCAGCTGCTTTTCCAAGTAGTTCAGCAATGAATCCGTTGGATTCATCGTCGATTTACGTTCCTCCGACTGGTTTATTTCATGTTTTACCTGGTATCACAACGCCAACAATAACTTCTTCACTGCCCGCTACAGTGAACCAGTTGAATGCCGTAACATTTGCGAATGGTATTCAGCAGAATTTCCTCACTATGGCTCGTTCATCTTCTGTCAGTAATCATGCTGGTCCAGATATCGCTCATGGATCCTCATCGCATTCCACCCTAAATTCTTCTGCAAAATCAACAAGCTCACCTAATGAACCTGAATGTCGAAACAACAATAATGTATGTGTTACTTGTGAAGGCAAGTGCCAATGTCAACGCTAACTGTAGCGTTGAAGCGATAGGCTTCAAATCGCTAGTGATACTCAAATTCGACGACAGAACACTTGGCGATCTCCTCAAAAAGGCTCAGTTGGTCCGTTTCTCGAGGAACTCCAATTGTTTATTTAGAAGACTGCAAAAAAATCAATAATAATTAAGCTTTCTTAAAATATAATCCATTAGCTTGATGCCTATAACAGCGCACATATCTCTATGGAACTTGGGGTCACAAGAACAAACAGTTCAATAGGAGTTAATTTAAGACAGTGATGCACATGATCAGATCGTCTTCCTCACGTATGGAGCTTAAGAAGGTTCTCTTTTCTCCATCTTCGGTTACCTTCCATTCAGTGNAGCATAATATTTTATTGTTTTTGAATTTGTCATATTTGTGAATGTGAAATTATACACGTCGTTCAAACTTCTTAAAATGTCTCCAAACTTGATTTCAAACTCTTTTCAAAATATTTGAAGCTTTAGACGTTAATTACAGTAAATTGTAAGTGTTTATTCTTGAATTTATCAGTTCAGTGCTTTTATTTGAGATGAAAACTTTATCAATTGTCAATTGAACGTAACTATTTCTTAATTGGTTTCTGATATCTGTGAATGTTTCCTATTGGATTGAATTTGTTATTGTTTATCTGTAATTAAATGGTTTCATCTTAATCCAACTCTGAATAGTTTAATTTTTCTGATCTTGAATAGAAAACAATGCACACAAATCCACTCCACACAACAATGCAAATGTTTATTTTAGAGAAAACTTCGAAATTTCAAAAGAAACAGTAAATGTGCGATCAGAAACGGCAACAGAGCGAATCTTTCAATCATAAACAATTGAATTTTTTAATCATTTTAACAAACAAAGAGAACAGCATGTCATTGAGCTGACTACTCCTCGGCCAATGGAATAGCTGCCCAGTCGGGAAGCTCTCGCTTCTGTTCCGGGAAACGACGTTGTATGGCGTTTTGAAATTGATCAACGACATATTTGTAGTCGAGCGGTGTTGGTGAAATCGTCAAATACATTATCCTCAAAAAAATAAGAAAAACATTCACACAGCAGCACTTACCAAGAATTTTCAAAAATCTAAAGCAAATGCTCTCGAATTTATTGAAATTCACTTGTTTCTTAGCTTCCAGATGCTTACTGTTCACATCAGCAAAGATTTGTAACCTGTAAAGGGAGCGAATCTCTCGTGGAAGTCGTTTAAATTCTCGGGCCATATAAAATGCGCATTTCATCTCACAGACACGCTCTTCACTGAATACCGATCGCCACGGTAAACGGCCCGAGATCATTTCGGCTATCATGTAGATCACTGAAATTATGTCGTCGCTTGGCCCCTAAAACCGACTTTTTTTCCTTGCTTAACGAACTTGATGTCAATGGAAAGTTTCTTTCTGTTCATAAATACAACATTTGAACTTGAGCAGTTTCTTGGATGTATATTCACATATCACCGTTCAATCGGCTTCACTGAACTCCACATCAAAACTTTTCAGTCTTGTGTAATCAATGTCTCAAACATATTTCTGATCCTATATATGACAGTCCAATATCAAGCTATTTGCATAACCATGTAAACATTTTCCACATATCTCAAAAAAAAAATTCACCCATCTGTTATTCATGTTTGGTTATTTCGAACAGTGAAACTTTCAATCAAATTGATAAAGTTCTTTCGAAATTAAATGTGTACCAACTCTTACTATTAGTGCTAAGTCAACTCGACGTATACAATCTTAATTTGAACCGAATCAACGATTCTCCAATGCATCCGCAAATCTAAGAGCAAGAACGGGAATATCACCGAAGATACCTGCTCTCTGCCTCGATGTGCACGCACCGAACTGTAGCGAAGTGTGCCAACGAATGGAACGTATTGTCTGGGTTTACACGGATACGGTAGCACTGCACTAAGATCTGTGATAACGACTCGTCCCTCGAGCGAATCATACGACAGCGGGTTTGGAAACGAGAACGAGTGCGGTGAGACAAGACGATGAATATAGCCACAACGATGCAGCGATGCCAACGCTCGAACACATCCCAAACCAATCACCAGACTCATCTCCATTGGTATCGTACCGGAGCGCGAGAGTGACAGCAATGAACTCATCAACGTTGCATCATACTGCAAAATGGCACAAGGACGTGCTGTCCATTCCGGATCACGTTCTGGTTCTTGGTCACCATTCTCACCGTATATCAACTGAAAATTTTTCGAATGTGTTCGATGTTTTGATCAACTGATCTGTCAAAATCAATCGTCCATCGATGAATTTATTGTTAAGTTTTGCTAGTTACGAATCGGAAAAATTCTAACCGAAAGCTTCCTACAATTCAGAGACACCTATCAATTATTCAGGATGTTCGTTTCAAATTTGATTGGTGCTTCAATTAGGCTTTAAAAGATATTCTTAATAATCCGTGCGTCTCATATTCGACGATCAATGACTTGCTATTGTATTCATCATGATTAATGTGAATATGAACGAATGATAGTAAAATTGCAAAATCCTCCAAAAACATTACGGACGTTCACCACAGAATAACCGATAAAGCAACCCTTTTAACTCGTCCGAAAGCGACCAATTTCGGGAAATGAACAGATCGTCCTTTGGTTTCCAGAAGAACTCTGATTGTTCGATGCACTGCCGTATTTTTATGATCTTGCACTTCGGCACGGGCCATAAACAAATGTGTACTCTAAAAAGCACGTATCCATTTAGTGAGATTTAGGATTGTCTTATGCTCGTTTTATATTCATCTATAAAACTATGATATTTTAGAGTCATTAGATATACAATACTCAGTGCGAGCACGACAGCCTGTGAAGTCGATTCGCTCCTTCCCGGATTGTCTTCTCGTTCAGGCCGTATACACATTCGAGTTTTTCAGAAGAGTTACAAAATCCTATTCTATTTCAGTGTGAGCCATATCAGCCATTGGAGAATAATACAGTTTGTCAGGCCACGATCCTGCATTCGAAACTTATGTGTCCAATTGTTCGACCATTCATGACCCAGGCTGCTCTTTGAGAATATGACTGCTACCACTCGCAAGCGATTGATATGCGGTCGCGAAATGGTACGATGCTATCCATGTGTTACCGTATATAAAAATTCGTTGTATTCGGGCTTTCGAGTACACTGCAGGAAATGTGTCACAAATTCATTTCCAGTCCTAACCGTATCTGGAGCTTTATCGTCATAAATCGTGTGCATTGTATACTCACGAACCACCGAATCATCCTCAGTGCCCGTTATGAAATAAGCATGTTTGTCGTAATCGATCACACCGCATATATTCTCGGGCACCTCTTCGATTTCTCCCCAGAATACATCGCCCATTTTGAAACAATGCTTTTGCTCTTCTCACTGCTGTTCTGAACTGATTTAAACTGCAATTGTATGATATCAAAGTGACAGATATCATCAATGGACATCCAATCAAATCGTTTCCGCACCCAATTCCGCACCCATTGACTAGCTGAGATCAACAAGCACATATAATTTTCACGCCGTCAATCTTGCAACAGAATCAAGCAATTGAGAACTGAATTCCAACAAGCGACTTACTCGAAGCCGTCTTCTGGGTGCCCGACCACCCCAAAACCGTAGACAATGAAATAAATGACTTCATTTTCAGTTATTTCGTCTTCCTCGACAGTTAATTATAGCTCGAATATGCAACCACGCATAACTGATGCCCCAACTCGATTGAATAAAAAGTTTTCGGAGATTTCCGCAAATGCAGATTTTCAATTCTCATTCACAACTGATAATAAAACATCATCATGATCAAATGCAGAATTTCGCAGAGGCTTGCTCACTACTAAATACCATTTTGTTTGCATGAGAGATCCCAATATCTCCTCACCAATCCATCTTTTATCTCCTTATCAGTCTGAAATACCGACCGAAATCATCCAATTCTGAACACTTGGTAATATTCATCCCTACATATCGAAATCTCAACTACTTCAATTCAAACAACTAATTTCCAATCCACTCGATATGATTATATTCATTGTGGTGAGAAAAAGAATTCAACGACATTTCTTTATTGCATTTAGTTCATGAAAACAAACAAACGATCAAGCAAAAAAAAGTTACGAAAGCAAAATATCAAATAACACAGTTTTGCTGGATAACATAAAGATGTACAATAGTTTCAAATTTTACTTGCGGTTCGGCCAAGCATACAACTCGAACATTACTGCAAGAGATACAAAAAAAGAGAATAAGAAAATAAGCGATACATCATAACGCATCCGATGGAAATCAAGATTGCTTTTGCAATCTCGACCTTTAAGTCCCATATAAATGCATTCAAGTGAAGTGAATTTAAACCTATCCACTATCACCTCATTACATCTAAGAACACTATCGAAAACTAACATCAAACAATTTCATTTTCATTCGTTCCTCCAATGATAACTGCTGCCACTAACTCTTTTCTAGCGATAAGCCTAAGTTTACCTCACATAAATACAGATTGCACATTGCTTTTGCTCACTAACCCTTCATGAACACGAGCACAATTCCTCACGAAACCAATCCAAAATGCATAATACAATACAAGCAAACGCAAGTGGATCGATCGCGAAAGACAATCAAAATGGAACAATAATAATAATGCTATCAATAATATTCAATAACTCACAATGAGTGATAGAAACGAATAGCTAATAAATTTCAAAACAACCAGCAATCAGGTTTAGATGAGCACCACCAGATGGAGTCAATTAATGCTCAATTCAATAATCATTTTCAAAATGAGATATGTGCACATTAGCACACATATAACACAATCAGTTCGTTGTAACTGATCAAAACACCATGTCGACGTATTGTCCTTGCGATGCAATCGATGAGCGTGCATTCTGACGTCCTTGATGATGACCTGCACCACCTCGACCTCGACCACTATGCGCTCCACGACCAGCCGTATACTCGAAAAGACTCGTCTGCAACAACAAACACTTTTGTTAGCCACAAAATATAAAACTTTGCTTCTCTTCTTCAATCCATACGAGTCTTACCCGGCAACAAATCCTTTCCACCCGATCATTCAAGTGTCATATATCAAAGAAAGATTATCATAACCCAACGCTAGAACTCCTAAATAGTCCCACACAAAAATCAGCCACAAATAACTAATTCAAGTTTTCAATGATAACAACTCACCGGTATTGTATTCATGAGGTCACGAACATCCGCAGCTGGTGCAGGCTGTGAGAAGAAGAACATGTGATCCAACGCTTGTTCAGCACTCAGTCTCGACGATGGATCAAGTGTGAGCAGACTGTCGATCAAATTCAGTGCATTTCGATCCTGCAAACAA